AGATCATACCCATCTTTTTTGATGTTTAGTATATTTTTGTTGTTAACTTTGATTTTTCTTGTCATAGAAAAACACAACAGTTTATCCTATCTTTTTATAGTTATTCAATAATAAAAAAACCGGTTGAGTCATTGTTCAAGCGATTAATTTGAAATTGAAATGATGTGTACTAACTTCTAAGGACAGGTAGATTTAGGGCGTCGCCACAGGGCATACCAAACGGAAAAAAAAAAACAAAAAAAAAACGAGTGAATTTTCCCACAGAAAATGGCCATGTTCATCGGTTTGCTATAAATAGTGACCAGTATATTTTGCCACCTCTCGTCGGCACATATGCACTCCTTTCGTTTTCGTTTCATGTGCTGTGTGGCGAGGCCCTCACAGGACAGCGCAATTGAGAATCATAACAGAGACAAAGCCAAACAGATCGTCTTGGTTGCAACACATCCACCCCTGCCCCTGCAAATTACAGAGCCAGGACAGATCCCCCATGGAAACACAATCTCCACCACCACCACCTCCTCCTCCTTGTCATCCTCCTCCTCCTCTAAAACATCCTCTTTTTTTCTTCAGCACCGCCCGCACCAGACATTTTAGGTTCCAACCGCCAACTCATGCCCTCCCTCCTCCTTGCCCTCCTCCTTGCCCTCCTCTTTCCCCTCCTCCTGCCCCTTCCTGTTCTCCTCTCCCCTTTTGCAGCTTCTCGTCCCCTCAGTTCTGATTCTTCCCCATCACCACCATCACCACCGCCATAGCCATCATCATCACTGCCTTCATTTTCGATGTCTTTGTCATCATCATTGGCACCATCCTCATCCTCATCCTCATCACCATGACGGCCACTGTCACCACCGCCATCATCATCATCATCATCATCATCATCATCATCATCTTATGTCTTTGATTCCCCTTGCCCGCGTTCTCTACTTAAGCTCAATCGAAATCTGATGTCCATGGAGGTGGAGTAGAGCGTGCTCAACCGTGATGATATGGAGAAGGAGAAGGAGAAGAGGATAAGGCACAGGTGTGATAGATGAAGTGGGCAACTTGGGGCCTTTCTTCACTGCAAGGCATTCTACATGTGTCTGGACATGGTTATGGTCCTCGTACATGCAAAATGTTTGGTCAGTCTGAATGCATCTGGTACACAAGAGAGACCAGACACGTGTAAGAGTGTTTACCAGTGGAGCGACGCCCTTATTTCCTAGTTTACAGATGGTGCCTTGCCGCACCTCTTTTTTTTTTTTTTTTTTTTTTTTTTTTAAACAACTCTCCTTCAATGTTAGTGGTGCTGATAAGAGCAGACCTCGTTCTCTTGTTTCTTCCAAAATTGTGCTTTCCCTGCTGCTTCCATCTTTCTCGCCTGTTTCCTTTACCCCTTCTGCTCTTCTCCTTATCCCCCCCGCAACTGCCCCCTTTTTTATTTCATGCTTCGTGTCTTTTCTAGTTCAATGTCTTTATGGCCCCATAGCAATGATCCACCCAAGATCCATAATGTGGAAAAGGTGGGGGATACATCAACTTGCATGCACACACACAGAGAGAGAGAGAGAGAGAGAGAGAGAGAGAGAGAGAGAGAGAGAGAGAGAGAG